AAAAAAAAAAGGCCCGAAGGTAACAAAGAGATTATCAGGCCCACTACCCCCTAGGTTTTAATAGGCAGACGGCCTCCTACAGAAGCCATGGAGGTAAGGCTCCTGGAGCCATGAGCGATGGTGTGGGCAGGGCCCCAACAGAGAACAGGCAGGGCAGCACCCTGCCAAGCTGTAGGAATGATGTTGCCACCCCAGTGGGTCCAGAAGCCAGAACATGAAACCAGAGAGTATTCTTGAGCCTTGAGATCTCTCTGAATTTCGCCTTGCTAGGTTTCAGCTTGCTTGGGACCTATCACTTCATCTTTCTTTCCTATTTCTTCCTTTCGAGATGGGAATGTCTGTCCTGTGCCTGTTCCACAACTGTATTTTGGAAGCACATACCTTGTTTGGTTTCATAGGTTCACAGCTGGAGAGGAACTTTACCTCAGAATGAACGATACTTTGAGTCTCAGCCATATCAGATTTAGATGATACTGAGATGAGACTTTGGACTTTAAAGTTGATGCTGGCATGAGTTGAGACTTTTGGGGTTGTTGAGATGAAATGAATGTATTTTGCATGTAAGAAGGACATGAATTTGGGGGCGGGGGGCAAATGCTATGGTCTCAATGTTTCTGTCTCCCCCAAATTCATATGTTGAAATTATAATGCCCAGTATTATGGTACTAGAAGGTGGGGGCCTTTGGGAGGTGATTAGGTCCTAAAGGGAGAGCTCTCACAAATGGGAATAGTGCTTATAAAACAGGCCCCAGAGAGTTCCCTAGCCCCTTCTTGAGGATGTAACAAGAAGTATGCTGCAACCTAAAAGAGAGCTCTCACCTGACCATACTGGCATTCCAGTCTCAACCTTCTAGCCTCCAGAACTATGAGAAATAAATTCCTCTTATTTATTAGTCACCCAGTCTGTGGTATTTTATTATAGCAGCCAAAAGGACTTAGATAGATCTTGCATTGGTGTTCTATTGCTGAGTAAAAAACTACCCCAAACATTAGCACTTAAAACAAGCAACATTTATTATCACACACACATGTAGGTCAGAAATCCAGGAGTGGCTTAGCTGGGTGTTTCTGAGGTCTCTCAAAAGGCTGCAGTGAAGGTGTTGGTCAGGCTGTGGTCTCACATGAAGGCTTGACTGAGGAAGGATCCATTTTCAAGGTCTCTCACATGGTTGTTGACAAGATTCAGTTCCCCACAGACTGTTGGGCTGAGGGCCTCAGTTCCTTGCTGGCTGTTGGTTGAAAGGCTCCCTCAGAGGTTCTTTGCCACGTGGGCTTCTCTATAGATGGCTCACAACACCTACCTGGCTTCCATCAGAGTGAGCATGCAAGAGAGTAAGAGAGAGCACATAAGATAGAAGCTGGTCTTATTGCAGCCTAACCTCAGAAGCTGAATCCCATCACTTTTACCATAGTCCACTCATTAGAAGCGAATCACTAGATTGAGCCCACCCTCCCAGAAAGAGGGTTATAGAAGGGCATGAATGCTAGGAGATGGGGATCATTAGAGGCGATTGTTTACCACAAATGTAAAAGCCACAACTTTGATTAGACCTTTGCCTTAAGGCTATGTTAAAGCCAGCCTTCAAATTCTAAAATTGGGCCTCCTTGTTTTCCCTCTCAATTCAGTTCTCTTGTCCATGTATTTTTGAGCTGATTTCTTTCTTGTAGCAACTTATCTAAATGAAGCCAGCAACAACCCACTCATACTCTATAAACATTCTGCCTCAAAATCTCTGTGTCCAGTGACACAGGTCTGCTAGGTACATTTTCTGTCTTTCACACTGTCACAGGAGACAGTTTTACTAAATGTATCACCTCTGCATAACTGTGTCACTATTTTTCTAACTTCCTATAACAGTTTCAATGCCATCTGTTGTTAGCCAGTCACAAAGCCAATGGTTGTCACATAGTTTAGGTTTTTGTTAGGACAGCATCATACTTCTAGGTATCAAGTTCTGTATTATTCATATGTTACTGCGTTAAGTCCTCTTGTTTCCTTTCATATCTTCTGTCTGTTCTGTCCATCATCGTGAGTGGGGTATAGAGATCTCCAACCGTGATTGTAGAACTAGCATCTATTTCTTTCTTCAATTCTGTCCATTTTGCTTCATATATTTAGTGGTCTGTCATTAGATATGTAAATGTTTATAATTACTGTATCTTATTGTATTGAATCTTTTATTAATATATAATATCCTTCTTTGTCTCTTACAACATTTTTTAATTCAAAGTCCATTTTGTCTGATACTGGTTTAGCCATCCCTGCTCTCTTTTGGTTACTATTTGAATGAAATATCTTTTCCATCGTTTCACTTTTTGGATCTTTTGAGTCTGTTATAGACAGCATATAGTTGGATCATGTGTTTTTATTCTGCCAAGATCTTTCTTTTGACTGGAAAGTTTAATGCATTTACAGTGAAAATAATTACTGATACAAAGGGACTAACTTCTCTCACTCTGCTGTTTGTTTCCTATGTGTCTTACAGTATTTTTGTCACTCATATCCTACATTACTGTCTTCATATGTGTTCAGTTGATTTTTCTGTAGTGAAATGTTTAAATTCCTTTCTTATTTCCTATTTTGTCTATTCGATAGGTATTTTCTTTGTGGTCCCTGTGGGGATTACATTTAACATCTTAAAGTTATAATATGCTAAGTTTAACTTATTCCAGTTTACCTTCCATAACATACAAAACTCTGCTCCTATTCAGCTGCAGTCCCCTTTCAATGTTGATGTCAAAAAAGTACATCTTTATACATTGTGTGCCCCAAAATATACACTAATACTTTCTTTAAATGTATTAGTCTCTTAAATTACGTAGAAAACAAGATTTGGACTTACAAACCAAAGTTATGGTAGTACTAGCTTTTACACTAATAATAGTAGGGTTTTCTTTAAATGTTAGTCACTCATCATGTAGAAAACAAAAGGTGCAGTTTGAAACCATTGTTGTAATAATACTAGCTTTTATAACTGCCCATGTATTTACCTGTATTGAGATCATTATTTCTCCCCACGCCTTCAAGTTACTGTTGTCACTGGACTAAAGAGGTCCATTTCCCTGCAAAGCCCAATAGGACACAAACATGAGTTTGCAGCAAAGAAAGTAAGGGTTCATTTCAGGAAGCAGCCCACACCGGGAGACAGGTGAGCTAATGCTCAAAGGCCTGGCTCCCTGATGGCTTCCAAGGGGTGGATTATATAGGGGAAAATCATTAATCATGGTGATTAAGGGAATTAGGGTGGTGGTCAGGGTCACGGTCTCTACTGATTGGTCAGCGATAGGGGAGGGGGTACTTGATCAGTGCATCTGGTCCTGTTCTCAGGCATGGCGTCGCTTTGTTTGGCTTTGCCCATTTTATTGACCAGGAGCTAAAACTCAGCTGTGGCCTAGATGTTATCTCCAGTTTGACCAAAACTCTGTCTTTGGGGTCAACAGACCCAAGGCCTTGCTCTTAGCTTATTTGATGCTGCCAGAACCTCATTGTCCTCAGGGCTTAATGACTAAGGGAGTGGACGTGCAAGGGAGGAGGGGGCAGGTGAGTCATGGCGCTGGGTGGCGCCAGTTTGAATCAAAAGGAAAGAAAGCAGAAAAGGTCCTATTAAAGAAATGAACTCTTGCCCGGCCGGGTGCGGCCCAGCGGTTGAGCATCGACCTAGGATCAGGAGATTGCGGTTTGATTCCCAGTCAGGGCACATGCCTGGGGTGCGGGCTTGACCTCCAGTCGGGGGCGTGCAGGAGGCAGCTGATCAATGACTCTCTTTCATCACTGATGTTTCTATCTCTCTCTCCCTCTCCCTCTCTCTTCCTCTCTCTGAAATCAATGAAGATATATTACAAAAAGGAAAAAAAGAACTTTCTACTGTGGTACATTGTCTAGTGTCCTTTCATTTCACCTTACAGAAGTCCCTTGAGCATTCCTTGCAAGGCTGATCTAGTGGTCACGAACACCCTCAGCTTTTGTGTATCTGGGAATGTCTTCATTTCTCCCTAATTTTTTCACTCTGCCAGGATTTTTTCTTTATTAAGCACTGTGACTATATTGGCACACTATCTTCTGGCCTCCACAGTTTCTGATGAGAAATCTGCTAATGATCTTATTGAGGGTCCCTCTCATGTAATAATTTACTTCCCTCTTGCTGCTTTCAAGATTCTCTTTTTATCTTTGACCTTGAAAGTTTGATTATAAAGTATCTTTGTCTTGGTGTGGATTTTTTATTGCAAATATGTTTTTTATTTTAAGTATAGTTGATATAAAATATTATATTAGTTTCAGGAGTACAGCATAGTGATTTGACGTTTCTGTACCTTACAGTGTCACCGTGTAAACCCATCACAGTATTATTGACTATATTCCCCTTCACCTTTCACCTGTCCCTCCAATGCCCGCCCCTCTAGCAGTCATCAGTTTGATCTGTTTCTGTGAATCTGTTTTTGTTATTTTGTTTGTTCATTTGTTTTGGTTTTTTTTAGATCCCACATATAAGTTAAACCTTATCATATTTGTCTTTGTCTGTCTGATTAAAATCATTAAAATGACCATATTACCCAAACTAATCTACAGATTCAATGTGATCCATATTATAAAATACCAATGACGTTCTTCTCAGAACTTACACAGATAATCCTAAAATTATTATGGAGTTGGTATGGGTTTTTTTATTTCATCTTACTTAGAGTTCACTAAGTCTCCTGGATGTTTACATTCATGTCTTTCATTAAATTGGGACGTTTTCAGCCATTATTTCTTAACTCATTGGCATTTCTGGGTGGCTGGCTCCTCCAGTTCTAAGTCTGGGTATATGAGGCAAACACACACACACACAAGGAATCTACTCAAGGTCATGTTTCTCCTTTGCTCCTCAGATCCCTCACCAGTTTGCCTTCTGTTTTCACCTTTTAGAGCCTCTTATATTCATTTTGTTATAATACCCAGTGTTTTTAGTTGTACTTAGAGGGAGGAATAGGAACACTACTTCATCTTCTTACAAGTGAAAATCTCAAGATATTTTATGTCTGCATATATACTGTCTTTGATTAAATGTTGATTTTAAATATGATTCTTTTATGTAGATAAAAAGCAAGAAAAAACATCTGAAAACAAAAAAGGAAAGAAATTCTGCCCTAGCCAGCCATCAAAATGCCAGAGAAGAGCAAGGGGTAAGTTAATTCATAGATCTGGTTGTTAGCAGCTTCTGAAAAAATGATTGCAAGGGAATGGGGGTTATTTCCTCTACCCTAATTTTTTCCTCAGAAAGAGTTCATGATTAAAATGTTGCTCATCTTATTTACTGTTTATAAAAGCACTAAAGAACCTTGACAGATAAGAGGAGAGTCTTATTAAGGAGCGATATTTAAATTTCACTTACACTCACCTTACTCAGAAAAGCATTTGAGGCATCTTGCAAAGATGCATTGATATCTAGAAATAAAGCTAAGAGAAATTAAATGGGAATACAAAGGTATAGACTAGATGGTACTGGGAGATTAGCTTCCACATGACAGAGTGGGAGCTCTGCAGACCCATTCACTAGCAGAAGTGGGTGAAAATTATTTTTAAAAGAACAACAAAAAACATTTAAACAATGAGGTTCAAAGACTTTCTCCATAAAGAAATCAAAAGGCAGGAAGGCAGTCATCGATCCTGAGAGGAAGGAAGTGAAAGCTAAAGAATGTGTCATGTTCCAGTTCTCTGGGTGCTTCCCCTGAGTTTTGCTGTACTTTTCAGTTACAATGATGAGGTCATCTTTATTCGCAGCTCTGAAAAATTTTATACTTTTATAGTTTTTAGACTTTTCCATGACTGGAAGACTACACACCAGAGTTACCACTGGACATCTCTAGGGTATAGGAACACTTTGATTTTTCACTGCTTACACCCCTGTTGTTTGAATATATACAGTACTCTTGTAATTTTCTTGTAATTACAAGAAATTGTAATTGTAAGAACACACACACAAAAAGAATATTCTTTCTAATGGATTCAGCTACTTATCAATGAAAAAGTTGAACCTTTTGGTCAAGATTAAGGGAGGACTGCCCTGGCTGGTTTGGTGGTTAGAGCATTGGCCTATGGACTGAAGGGTCTTGGGTTCAATTCTAGTCAAGGGCATGTACCTCGGCTGCAGGCTCAATCCCTGGCCTCGGTCAGTGCATGTGCAGGAGGCAACCAGTCGATGTGTTGCTCTCACATCAATGTTTTTCTCTCTCCCTCCCTTCCACTGTCTCTGAAAAGCAATGGAAAAAAATATCCTCAGTAAGGATAAAAAAAAAAAAAAAAAAAAGATTAAGGGGGAGGACTGGGGAGTTAGTATTGAAGGAGGACAGACTTTAGTTTGGAAGATGAGCAAGTTTTGGAGATGGACGGTGGTGATGGTTGCACAGCAGTGTAAATGTGCTTAAGAACATTGAACTGTGCACTTAAAAATGGTTAAGATGGGGTCTTGACCAGTGTGGTTCAGTTGGCTGAGCATAGTCCTGTGCACCAAAGGGTCTCTGATTCGATTCCCGGTCAGTGCACATGCCAGGGTTGTGGGCTCGATCCCCAGTAGGGGACATTCAGGAGGCAGCTGATTGATGTTTCTCTCACATCCATGTTTCTCTCTCTCTCCTTCTCTCTTCCTCTCTAAAAAAATCAATAAAAACATTTTTATAAATGGTTAAGATGGTAAATTTTGTTTGGTATATTTTATCACACCAAAAAAAAAGAAGATTATGGGGGAATTTAAACAGTGAATTATACACTGGCTGCTATGAGGTTGGGCTAAAGACTAAAATCAAGCACACGCAATCAGGGAAAACACAACCACGGGTCATATTGGCAACTCCTTTCAACATAGAAAGCAATGTCATGTATGTTCTTCTTTACTGAGCTCGTTTGCAAGCTACAAAAAAATATTTTTTACCTTTTTATATAAGCATTGTTTTGTAATTGCTTATACATTTTTATACAATTTTATATATTTTCACCGATTGCACACTTATCTTCCTATATCTTTACTCTTTTCATTTCAGGAGGTGAGATTATAAACTACATTTTTTGTCTCTCATCATAAATAAGTTCTATATGCAGTGAACATTTTTTATACTCCCTTTAATGCCAAAATATAATATCAATATTTTCTTCTCATTGTTCTAGGAGAAAAGTAATGTTGGAAAAGGTATTAGGAAGTTCCGATTTAAGAGATTATTTTATCCATTCTAAACCTACAAGGATAAAATGAGAAATGTTGAAAACAACTCTTCCGTAGATCATATAGGAAATATACCTCATTTTCATTTATAACATAGTATTGTTTTCCTTCTGTGTTTCCATTAGGTTTGTGATAAGGGACATTTGGTGCAGAGACACAAAGAATCAAGTTCTGATGTGAAAGGTAATGTTTTACTTCTACCCTCTCATAAACAATTCATTCAACAAACACTGTTTTTGTGCCACAACTTTGAGATTCCCACTGTGCTTGGTGTTTAGAGATACTAAGACCTTATAAATTCCTGTTTGTGTATATTCTCAATTATTTATTTGTAATAGATTCTTAGAAAGGAATTGCTGACTCAAAGGGTATGAACATTTTTTAGAGTTTTGCTATAAATAGCGAAAATGCAACAAATCATAAGATTTGACAACTGTATTAATTTAATTGAACTAAACTGTTGATATATTATCTGCTAGCATTTTTATGTGGAAAAAGATAAAAATATGAAACGTAAAAGTCAATGAATTGTTTTCATGCTTCTAATCATCTTTTACCATCTTTTCTAGATACAAGGCCAAGTGTATCAAATAATCGTATATTTGAATATTTCAGAAGACAGTTTCCTAATCAAGGTATGAGTGAGTAAAATGGGAATATAGAGAGTAATGAGTGGTCACCTACCATTTGTATGTGAGCTATTTAATACTTTGTGTTCGATAAAGATCTATTTACAAGAAACTGGAAGAATATCTTCATATTGGATAGACAAGGAAAAATTTACCTTCCCAGAAATTTTGAATCTCAAATTTTTACTTTTTTTTTTTTAAGTATGTCTTTATTGATTTCAGAGAGAGGAAGGGACAGGGAGAGAGAAAGATAGAAACATCAATGATAGGGGAGTCATGGATTGTCTGCCTCCTGCACGCCCCCTGCAGGGGATCAAGCCCACAACCCAGCATGTGCCCTGACCGGGAATCGAACTGCAATCTCCTGGATCCTAGGTCGATGCTCAACCACTGAGCTGTGCCAGCCAGGCTACTTTTCTTTATAGCTCTAGAAATATATAAAGGAAGCCAGTAGATATTCATTATATTTCATTTTGCTTTCTTGTAATCTTACCCAGTCAAAAAAAATAAAATAATTCATCTGACTGTGTAATTCTTTCATTCCCATATCACTGACTCTTAGAGCAGAAAGAAACCTTGAGAGACTCTAGTCATACCTCCTACTAATTACAGGATCCAGCCTTTGATACTCATCCAGCCTTTGATATCTGGTGACAGGTCGTTTACGAAATTATAACACAGTTCATCATCCCATTGCTAGAGAGCTATAGCATTGAAAAACCGTTCTTTTCATGTTCAGTTAAAAACGTGTGTCCCTGTGAATTTCATCCACCTCGTTAATAATACAGAACCTTGAGTAAAAGAACCTTAAAGGTAAACATTTCTGACTGACTCATATTCCCTCGTTCCTGAAATAATGAGAATAAATGTAATGCCTCTTCCACATTATCATAAGTGTTTTTTAAAAGCTATTATTTATTTCCCTGAAACTTTCCCTTTACTTTTTTCCAACCATCCATAATTCAGCATGATTCAGGTTCCTCTACCATCTTATTTTGTTCTTTTCTATCACTATTCAAGCTTAAATGAAGCTGAACACAGTATTGCAGATGTCATCTAATGAGTATACAGGGTGGGACAGAAGTAGGTTTACAGTTGTGAGTATGCAAAACAGTTCATTCTTGTATCATTATCTATTGTTGTATTATTTTCCATATGAACAACTTTCTCATAAGCCTACTTTTCCCCAAGCCTGTAGAATAAATCATCATTCTCATTTGCTTCTTTCTAGATCCAAGATTTCCTTTGATGCTGTCTAAGATTACATCTTTTCTTTGAATATCAACATACTGGATTAACATATACTCACACCTATAAAGTATTATTTTCACAGTGTGGCAGCTAACTTATGTCTCCTCCAGCCTGTACTTCTTCAATTTTGGTTTGGTATTTTGGTTCAAAGTACTGGTTCTTAAATTTATTCCTGCTAAATTAAGTCGTCTTCGATTCAGCCGTTCATGAACTCTTTTATCTTTTTTTTTTTTTTTTTAATCCTCACCCGAGGATATTTTTTCCATTTTCAGAGAGTGGAAGGGAGAGAGAGAGAGAGAAACATCAATGTGAGAGAGACACATTGATTGGTTGCCTCCCACATGAGCCCAACCAGGGCCAGGGATCAAGCCTGCAACCGATGTACATGCCCTTGACCGAAAATTGAACCCAAGACCCTTCAATCTGAGGGCAGTCACTCTAACCACTGAGCCAAACTGGCCAAGGCCCTTTATTCTCTCTTAATTTGGACCAGCTGCTCAACCTTTGTTATTCACAGCACTGGCATGTTTGAAGATTATGGGCCAGTTGTCTTATAGACTGTTCAGTTTTAAATTTTTAATGTACACCACAGTTACCTGAGGAACTTATGAAAACATCAGCTTCTGATTTGGAGTTGGTCTTTGTCGTCAACCTCAGATAATTCTGGGGTTGGTGAGGGATCTGCATACCACACTTTGCAACTCACCACTTTGGGAGTTACAGTGAGAGTTGGTGGAACCCAGCCCATCCAACCCATATTCATCCTGAATAGCTTCCTTACACAAATTTTCTTTCCATAAAGATCTGTTATTTAAACAAAACAAAAATTTTCGATTACCATTGGCTGCAGCATAGAAACCAAGTTTTCTAACATGAGGTACCTGATGTCCAATGAACGGGCCCTGACTACCTCTTTTATCTCTTGTGATTTTCTGCCTTTTACTGAACACTTGAGCAAAGATGATCTTCCTGTAGCCTCCAAATATGTGAGTCTTCTCACCTCATTGCCTTTACTCATGCTGTCTCCTCTGCCTGAACCATACCTTGCCCTCTCTTCAACCAGATTAGCTGCTCATTTAAGGAGTAGGTATCAAAGTTTAATTACAGTACAAGTGAGATAGAATGAGTGATAATGATATGCACAGATTGCTCTAGTGCTCAGAGGGGGACCTGATCCAGCCTTGAAATCTCGGGGAATGTTTTCTTGAAGGAATTGATCCTTAAATTCTGATAAGTCTTAACTGACAAGTTAGGCATTTAGCAGGGAGAGGAGAATCACTTCCTTGAATTCTTAAAAGATTGTTGTGGGTGATTTTGTGATCTTACATGCAAATTCTTATTTGACATGCAGTGTGCCTGGGACTAGACATAACTCATCCAGAGCCTATTGACTTTGGTCATCTCTTACCAATATTTATTCTAGTCAGAAGAAAACATTTGATAGAAAAGACAAACAATTTAAGATCTGAGAGATTCTAAGATGGCGGCAGATTGAATGGAAGCTACACTGGCACTCTCTCAGGACCAAACTTGAATTACAACTAAAATATAGAAAAACCATCCTGAATAATCAACTGAAGATGAGCTGGAGAGCACCCTCATAACCCAGGGCCTAAAGTGGAGACCACATAGAGACTGGTAGAGAGTGTGGAGGCGCAAGAGGACTGGCTGGGCTCCCAAAGGCAGCAGCTGAGTTTCTGGAGGGATATCTCAGCTGTGGGGGGTCCCACTGAGAACTCTGGGCCTAAACCCCAAGCTGGGCTCCCCAGCCCAGAGCACCAGAACTGAGAAAGGTGCCCACATAACATCTGCCTGTGAAAAGCAGCAGGGTTTTCGTCTGCCAGGGAGAGAAGGCTAGAAATGCAGGCGCCCTCTTAAAGGGCCAACGCACAAAGTTTTGTGTGCAGCCACTCACCTTGGTCTCCAGCAGAAGGAGGGTAGAGTGGCTTGGAGTGCTGTGAGGAGATTCCGGGCTTGTGTGAGGAGATAGAGCTCAGACGGCAGCCATCTGGATTCCTGTGCTAAGTCATTCCCTTGAGAAGAGGACATCTTTCTCAAGCTGACCTTTGCCAGCCAGGCAGCTTTTGCCTGGGGGAGGGAAGCAATTGCCCCACCCTGTTGGAAAACCTTTCACCTCCAAGCTGTGGAGTTTAGGTGGCCTACAGCCTGAGGCTCATTAAGAGACTCAGATTAATCTGCCTGCAGGCAGAGGTGGACCTCTGGGTGCTTTTAGTCTTTGCCTGATCTGCTTCTGGACCTGGGCTTTGGAAAAGCAGACATTGGGGTGCATCTTGGTCCTTCCAAATATACCCAGCCACAGCAGAGGTGAAAAGCAGAAAGCTTCAAACAGGGTACTCAGGGCCAATCACAAACAGTGTCTGACATTGGCCTGCATCAGAGACTCTCCAAAAAGACTGAGAGTCCTAGCAGATCTACCTGATACACAGAAGCAAACCTAAATAGGCAGCCAAAATGGGGAGCCAAAAAACAAGCCCCAAATGAAAGAACAAGAGAATTTTCCAGAAGAGCTAAATGAACTGGAGATAAGCAGTCTATCAGATACAGAGTTCAGAATACTGATTTTAAGAATGATGAGAAAAGATAGGGAAACTATGAAGGAAATTAAGAATAACATAGCATAAAGAATACATTGGAAGGAATAAATAGCAGATTAGAGAAAGCTGAGGATCGGATCACTGAATGAGAGACGGTAGAAAAAAATCAGATGCAAAAACAAGAGGGCAGTTTAAGGGAGCTGTGGGACAACATGAAACATAATATTTGCATCATAGGAGTGCCAAAAGGGGAAGATAATAAGGAATGGATAGAGAATCTGTTTGAAAAAATAATGACAGAGCCCGGGTGGGCATGGCTCAGCAGTTGAGCATCGACCTAAGATCCAGGAGATTGCGGTTCCATTCCTGGTCAGAGCGCATGCCCGGGTTGCGGGCTCGATCACCAGTGGGGGGCCTGCAGGAGGCAGTCTATCAGTGATGACTCTCTCATCATTGATGTTTCTGACTCTCCCCTCTCCCTTCTTCTCTCTGAAATCAATAGATTTTAAAAAAAAAGAAAAAAGAATGGCAAAAAACTTCCCTAACCTGGTGAAGGAAAAAGTCACACAAGTTCAGGAGGCACAGAGAGTCCCAAGCAAGAAGAACCCAAAGAGGCCCATGCCCAGAAACATAATTAAAATGCCAAAAATTCAAGACAAAGAAAATCTTAAAGGAAGCTAGAGAAAAGCAATCTGTTACCTACAAAGGAGCTCCCATAAGGCTGTCAACTGATATCTCATCAGAAACTCTACAGGCCAGAAGGAAATGGCATGAAGTATTCAAGGTAATGAACAGGAAAGATCTGAAACCAAGACTACATCCAGCAAGGCTATCATTAAAAATAGGTGGTAAAATAAAGAGCTTCCCAGACAAAAAAAGGCTAAAGGAGTTTATCACCACCAAACCAGCATTGCAAGAAATATTAAAGGGACTATACTGTCATAAGAAGTAGAAATAGAGACACAAAGGCATAAAGAATTAAAATGGCAATAGATAAGTACCTATCAATAATAACCTTAAATGTAAACAAATTAAATGCTCCAATCAAAAGATATAGGGTAGCTGAATGGATGAGAAAACATGACCCAAATATATGCTGTCTACAAGAGACCCACCTCAGAACAAAAGAGACACACAGGATGAGAGTGAAGGAATAGAAAAAAGTTTCCCATGCAGTTGGAAATTAAAAAAACGCTGGGGTAGCAATACTCATATCTGACAAAATAGACTTCAAAATGAAGACCATAGGGGACAATAAATGTCACTACATAATCCTAAAGGGATTGATCCAACAAGAGGATATAACCCGGACAAACATATATGTACCCAATATAGAAGCACCTAAATGTATAAAAAAAACAAGGAGGAATTTAAGGGAGAGATCGACAGCAATAGTCATAGCAGGGGACTTTATCACCCCACTGACTTCACTGGATAAGTCTTCTAGACAAAAAATCAACAAGGAAACAGTGACCCTAAGTGACACTAGATCAGATGGATTTAATTAACATTTACAGAACATTCCACCCCAAAGCTGCAGAATAGACATTCTTCTCAAGTGCACATGGGACATTCTCAAACATAGACCACATGTTAGGACATAAAGCAAGTCTCTACAAGTTCAAGAAGCTTGAAATCATATCAAGCATCTTCTCAGATCATAATGGCATGAAATTAGAAATCAACTATAATAAAACAAAAACATTCAAACACATGGAAGCTAAGTAGCATGTTATTAAACAGTGAATGGGTATCAAAGAGATCAAGGAAGAAATCATAAACTTCCTGGAAACAAAAATGAACACACAACAACCCCAAATCTATGGGACACAATGAAAGCAGTCCTGAGAGGGAAGTTCATAGCACTACAGGCTGACCTCAAAAAACAAAAAACTTCTAATAAGCTATCTAACCCTACCACTTAAAGATTTAGAAAGAGAACAAGAAAAGCTCAGAGTAAGTAAAAGAAAGGAAATAATAAAGATCACAGCAGAAATAAATGACATAGGGACTAAAAAAACAATACAAAAGATCAATGAAACCAAGAGCTGGTTCTTTGAAAAGATAAACAAGATTGATGAACCTTTAGCCAGACTCATCAAGAAACAAAGAGTAAGAACCCAAATAAACAAAATCAGAAACAAAAGAGGTAAAGTAACAACTGACCAAATAGAAATACAAAGGATTGTAAGAAAATACTATGAACAACTATACGCCAACAAGACGAAATGGACAAATTCCTAGAAAAATACAACCTTCCAAAACTCAATCAGGAAAAGTCCGAAAACCTGAATAGGCCTATAACTGCTGATGCAGTTGAAGCTGTAATCAAAAAACTCCCAGCACACAAAAGCCCTGGTCCCGACAGCTTCACAGGAGAGTTTTACCTAACGTTCAAAGAACTAACACTTATCCTCCTCAAACTATTCCAAAAAATCCAAGAGGAAGGAACACTTCCAAGCTCTTTTTACGAGGCCAGCATTAGCCTAATTCCAAAACCAGATAAAGACACTACAAAGAAAATTACAGGCCAGTATCCCTGATGAACATAAATGCTAAAATCCTCGACAAAATATTAGCAAATCAGATCCAGCAATATATTAAAAAGATCATACATCATGACCAAGTGGGATTTATTCAGGGATGCAAGGCTGGTACAATATTCACAAATCAATAAATGTGATACATCACATAAACAAAATGAAAGACAAAACTCACCTGATCATATCAATAGATGCAGAAAAGGCATGACAAAATCCAACACTCATTTTTGATAAAAACCCTCAGCAAAGTGGGAATAGAAAGATCATACTTCAACATAATAAAGGCCATGTATGACAAACCTACAGCCAACATCATACTCAATGGGCAAAAACTAAAAGCATTTCCCCTAAGAACAGGAACAAGACAAGGGTGTCCACTTTCACCACTCTTATTCAACATAGTACTAGAAGTCCTTGCCACACTGGTCAGACAAGAAGAAAACATGAAATGCATCCAAATTGGAAAGGTGGAAGTAAAACTCATTATTTGCAGATGACATGATTTTGTTACATAGAAAGTCCTAAAGACTACACCAAAAAAACTACTAGATTTAATAAATGAATTCAGCAAGGTAGCAAGATACAAAATTAACACCTAGATATCGATGCCGTTTTTTACACCAATAATGAACTCACAGAGAAACTAAAAGAACAATCCTGTTTACCACTGCAACAAAAAATTAAGATACTTAGGAATAAACTTAATGAAAGAGATAAAAGACCTATACTCAGAAAACTACAGGATGTTGCAAAAAGAGATAGAGGTAGATATAATCAAGTAGAAGTATATACCTTGTTCATGGATTGGAAGAATTAACATCATTAAAATGACCATACTACCCAAAGCAATCTATAAATTCAGTGCAATCCCTATTAAAATACCAGCAGCATATTTCACAGATCTAAAACAAACACTTCAAAAATTTATATGAAACCAAAAAAGACCCTGAATAGCCATGGCAATCTTGAGAAAAAAGAAAGCTGGAGGCATCACAATACCAAATAACAAGTTATACTACAAAGCCACTGTAATTAAAACAGCCTGGTACTGACACAAGAACAGACATATAGATCAGTGGAGCAGAACAGTGAACCCATTACATTCAATTTGTATTTGACAAAGGACGCAAGAATTTACAATGGAGTAAAGACAGTCTCTTCAATAAATGGTGTTGTGAAAATTGAACAGGTACATTCAAAAAATGAAACTAGACCACCAACTTACACCATACACAAAAATAAACTCAATGGATAAAAGACTTAAATGTAGGACTTGAAACCATAAAAGTCCTAGAAGAAAATGTAGGCAGCAAAATCTCAGACATCTCTCGTAGTAATATGTTTGCCGATCCGATACATCTAGGACAACAGAAACAAAGGAGAAAATTAACAAATGGCACTACATCAAAATAAAAAGCCTCTGCACAGCAAAGGAAACCAACAGAATGAAAAGGGAGCCCACTGTATGGGAGAACATATTTGCCAGTGACACATCTGATAAAGGGTTAATATCCAAACTATATAAGGAACTCATACAACTTAACAAAAGGAAGACAGACAATCCAATTAAAAAATGAGCAAAGGACCTAAATAGACACTTGTCCAAAGAGGACATACAGATGGCCGAGAGACACGAAAAAATGCTCAATGTCGCTAATCATCAGAGATGCAAATTAAAACCACAATGAGGTATCACCTTACACCTGTTTTCAGAATGGCTCCATCAACAAATCAACAAATGACACCTGCTAGCGAGGGTGTGGAGAAAGGGAACCCTGGTACACTGCTGGTGGGAATGCAGACTTGTGCAGCCACTATGGAAAACAGTATGGAGTTTTCTCAAAAGATTAAAAATTGACCTGCCATTTGACCCAGTGATCCCACTTCTAGGAATAGATCCTAAGGAACCCGAAACACCAATCAGAACTTATGCCCCCCTATGTTCACAGCAGTGCAATTTACAATAGCTAAGATCTGGAAACAGCCCAAGTGCCCATCAGCAGATGAGTGGATAAAAAAGCTGTGGGACATTTACACCATGGAATACTATGTGGCTGTAAAGAGGAAGAATCTCGTACTCTTTGGGATAGTATGGATGGAACTAGAGAGTATTATGCTAAGTGAAATAAGCCAGGCAGAGAAAGATAAGTATCACATGGTCTCACTCATATGTAGACTATGATGGACAAAATAGATCCGGAGACATAGAAGCATGGATCAGACTGACAAATCTCAGAGGGAAGTCGGCGGTATGGGGGAGGGTAAGGGGAGAGATTAACCTAATAACTTATATGCATATATGC